TGTCGCGTCAAGGGTTCGAATCCTAAAATATGGATTTGGCCCTTGAGTAAGTGCAAGTGTACAAATAGCCTTCCACCCTGTGCCCTTAGAGGCATAACCTGCGATTTACCTCCTTCACCAAGGCTCAGGGTAGGGCAGGTGGGGGCCACTAAGGATGCGGTTCATCCTTTATAAATTGAAGTTTACTTGACGTAAGTTGAAAAACTTGCATTTTACGTGGCATTTATGTCTAATAAATAAATAGTCAAACTTAAAATTGATCTCCAATGAGTTATATTTACAATCCAATATTATTATCATCTTTGTTTCTTTTATCTACCCTTAAATTAAAAAAAAAAAAAAGTATATAACAAGAAAGGAGAGAAAATACGATCTTGTAAAATAAAAAGAGAATAAAACAAATTGTTGAGTCAACGTGTCAAACATGGCCTTTGAATCTTGACGGAGCTTCAGATAGTGTCGATTTTTCCGTCACGTTAGCTTGATAGAGTCCGTGTCAACTTGAACTCAAAAGGAAATTTTATAAAATGTTTATTTTACTTATATGACAAAAATATTTTAATAATCCACGATTATATTGAAGATGCTCTTAGATTTAATACTCTAAAATTCCTCAATCTAGTATCTTTTCATTTTTGTATTATGTAATTTGTCTTGATATCACAATAAATATTGACAACAAATCACTACTCTGGGGTCGGATTCAACATAACCAAAAACACTCAACTATAACATTTTATACTAATATGTTGACATCAACAATGGAATTAGGGATGAATTTTGCAGTAAAATCCCTTAAGTTGACACCACTGTATAAATAAGTAATAAAGTTGATGTGTAAGTCCAAATACCGATTTATGAATACTAAGTATCTAATCTGATTTTTCAATTAATCTAACTTTAATCGAACAACGAGACCCCCCTATATTCCTCCATCTTAATATCAATTTCATTATTTGACAACACTTATTTGTTTAATAATCTCTCTTAAGTAAAATTAAATATATTATCACATATCACCCTAGTATAAATCTATGATGAATGTGAATACATGAAGATGCATTAAATCACAATAACATTTAAAAGGACAATTGCTATATCTCGCATTAGACTTTACAATGATTATTATTAAGTTCTCTATTTTCTATTCCTTCGCACGAATGTCAATAGAAATCACAAACCTTATCAATTAATGATCAAGTAATTGAAAATGCCTTAAACTCCTAACAACCATTTAAAGTAAATAAACATTCAATGTCAAAATCTGAAATTTAATATCCAGACATTGAAACACAGGATTCAACATTATTCTAGCATCTATGTATCTAACCAAGCATCATCTTATTA